ACTTGTCACCCTTGTTAGAATGCAATGACATCATAGCTTAGAGCAATCTCAAACTCCTGGGCTGAAGAGACTCTATTGCCTCAGCCTCCCAAGTAGTTGGGACTACAGGTGCCTGTCACAATGCCTGGCTATTTTTTAGAGACAAGGTCTTGTTCTGGCCCAGGTTGGTCTTGAACCTATGAGTTTGTTTAGGCAATCTATCTGCCTGGGCCTCCCAGAGTGCTGGGATACAGGCCTGAGCCACTGCGCCTGGCCAGAGTTTCTCTTTTTAAGACTTTCATTTAGAATAGCAATAGTACAAAACTTTTAAGTGAGTACATTGGAATCTTGAATTCCACTACTTTTAGAGACTACACATGAACCTATAAAGTGTGAACTAGCAGAAAAGCAATTTGATAGACCTGATTTTTAACCATTTATGTCCATTGATAACTTCAAAATAAAAGGCAAACAGTATCATGTAGCAGAAGGAACCACAACTTTGAAATTAAATGGATCTGGGATTGAACCCTGGCTCCACTACTTATTGATTTAATGACCTCTGGTCAATGACTTATGTAATCTCTCTAACAGACTTTATAAAGTAGAACTAATAACAGTTATGTCATAGGTTGTTAAAAGGAATAAATGAAATAAAGAATGAAAATTGTGTGCAGGGAATATAAAAGGCATTAAATAAATGTGTAGCTGTTTGGGATGGTCTTTGTCTTATTAATGCTTTATAAAAGCATTAAAAGCTCCTTAGCCTGCAGTCTCAAGAACATAGAAGAAAAATAAATTTTAGGTTTCTGGATATCATCAGTTCAATTTCTGGAATTGTGTCCCCTTCTTGTAGATTCTCTACCTGAGCTGCAAAGTTGTGAAGTCTTATAAGCATAAACAAAGGAAGAAAATTGTGTGCTTTGATTGAGAGTAAGAAATAATCCTTAATTTCTACTGGCAATTGAGGAAGGATTCTTTTTAGTTGGTGACAGGAATGGGGAAACAAATGACTTTTTATCTCTGCAGTAGGATATTTTTCCTAGATAAATTGTTTCAGAGAAATATTTAATACTATAAACTCCCAAGTGATACACCTCGATGTCCATTTTTTTCTTTCTTTCCCCTATAATTTTTGGGTAGCAGTTTATCTTGTTACATTAAAATATTAGAACATACAGGTGGCTCACACCTGTAATCCTAACACTCAAGGAAGTCAACAGGGGATCAGCCCATTATTGTGGCAGGGTCCTATAGATCCAACTACTTGGGAGCCTGAGGGAGGAGGATCACTTGAGCCTGAGTTTGAGGTTGCTGGGCTACAGAGTAAGACTCTCAAAAAAAAAAAAAAAA